CTCGCACTGTCTTTATAGTCAAGTGTGTTATCTAAGAAAACCGCAACAATGAGGGCTACCGTTGCTGGTGAGAAGAAGATGGTGTTTAGGAAGTCATTGAACTGCACATAAAAGAGAAAAAGTTGTGTAAGAACAGGTACGCCGAAAAGTTGCAAAGAAATGTTTAGTTCAAGCAGGTGAAATCATAAACTCACCCATCCAGCGTTTGTGTGAGCAGGACCATGAAAGGCCTTAGCAGTGTACTCCCTGAAATAGTCAGGCACAGACAAACCCAAGAACAATGCCACACCAGTAATGAAGAGATTCCTCATTGAATTCATGTTGGTGAATTGCAAGAATGATAACCCCACAGAGGCTGAGAGAGAGCAAATTTGTTAACATTCCATTTCCAGAGAATACAAAATGAGATTATATGTAAAAATCAACTCACCAACTAGACCAAACAAGACACAATATACAGCTGCAAATATGGTGAAGGGTATTGAAGCAAACAATGCACCAAATTTCCCTGCATGAAGCAGCAGAGTCCAACCATGATAAACTTGAGCAAAGATCAAATGTAAAGTTACATTGTTTACTACATGAACTAATTTCTGCTAACCTAGAATTGAGAAGAATATCATAAATCCTGCTGAAATCTGGATAACCCGGCGGCTACCTACACGGGTGCTTCCGAGCAGCCCTACATTTTCTCTGCATTTCGTACCATACAAGTCAGTAAACTTGCATAGAAGACAATCCCAGCAGCGACACAATACGAGAAACGATACAAACTTACACTGATACAGTTGATCCAGACAATGTTCCAAACAGACCACTCAAAAGAATCCCAATTCCCTGCCAACCAATGCCTCGGCTCAGAACATGAGCTGGAGGCGGAGTTGCACTTGCTAAACGCGATGCTGCCTTAAATGCTCCGGTCGACTGTTAGACGATAACAAATTTTCTATCATATTTTTTCAAGTACAGAGCAAGAAGTATAAATATTGCTAGAGTAGAGCTATATAGTACCTCAATCAAAGATACCAGAACTGCAGCCATCATCCCAAAAGCATGGCCAGCATTGAAAGTTGGAGCACCCCACTGAAGAGGGTATGGAATCTTAATCCTGAATGATGAAGGAAGACATGGTCGGATTAGCATGGTTAAGTTCTATTTTTTCTTCATATCAGCACAAAGTAAAAAAGAGACCAGGTTTAGATAACAACCATGGAGCAGAAGAAATGAGGTTGGCCTTGTCAGTTCGACAATTGACTTGAGTTAATTCTGGTCGATGTTTGTATGCACCACTGGCTGTCAAGAGGTGTGCATATGCCCATATCACAGTGATGGATATAAGAAGAGCAAAGCGTTCGAGAATTGGCAGTTGCCTTGTATGAAAACCTTTAAGATACTGCAAAAGAAGCAAATGTATAGATTCTTAAAAAGGGTTTACCAACATCACTCTTTTCTCTCTTAAATGGACATGGAACTTTAGGACAGGAAATCAAGATTAAGACTTTAATTGAATATCGTTTTGCAGTAGTGAGATAATCAGTGCACCACCTGTGAGAAGGCTATGAAGAGTATAAGCATGGGAATGCCAACTTCCACACATCTTCCAACCTGGTTAAACCTCAATGGTCAGATAAATTGAAAAAGACAACCAAACTGGCCTTGTTTAAAATGGTAAATACAACCATACCACGGGGAAGCCTCTGTCAAACAGACCAAAGCCTACTAGTGCAATCACAGGGACCATTCCAAGAGGACTGAAGAACCTGAAATGGAAGATGAACTTCATCTCATTAACTTGTAATGTGAAATAGAAATTAGTGATGTATTATTAGGACATTTGTTCTTAATTCTTAAGTTGTACCTGGAACAAATAGCCCACAACTGACTGTATCCCAAAATGATCTGTATACTTGATGACACAATTAGAGCTCCTTGAACCGCTCTCATTGTGTTCAGAAATCTCTGTAGAAGAAACAAGTTACATTTTACTCCACGTTAGGAGAAACAACACATCATCATCTCTGAACCTCTGATCTTATGGGAAAAAGCAAAGAAAAAAGACAACAAGCTTGACTCTTTGGACATTGATTGAGTTGGATATATGGACAAAATCTTACGTAGAGACAATTAAGCCACACGGTTGGAAGCAAATGAAAAAGTTCAATTGGGTTACTGACCAAATGAGGGTCCTCGATTCTTGCTAAAGATGAGTCGTGAATGATGGAAATAATGGGAACCATGAAGGCATAAGAACCTCCGATAACAGTCGGCAACCTGGTTCCAAACAGAGTTTGTAGAAGCGTATTAATCCCTTCAACAAAAAGCAGAGTCTGTACCACCCTCACTTTATCACCCTGTACCAGAGTCCAAACCCCATATTAAAAAACAAGCAGAAAAGCATGTTGAGATGAAAAGTTTGAGGTTATTGTCTTTTGTCTGTATTTTGCAGCTGGAGAATCTGTCACATTTGAGACCCAGAATATTCTCAAGTCTCCATGTAGGAACTGGAAATAGTAAACAAACTCAAAAACGAAGAAATGGAGCAGAGGGAAATTTTCTCACATCATCGCCTCCCATCAGAGGAACAAGGAAAGAAGGGATCATCACAGCAGTACCCAAGGCCAAAATGTAGTGCTGAAACCCCAAAGCTATGGCTTCCGCTGTTGTTATTACATCAAAAAAGGAGCAAGAACTAAGAGCTCAGAAGGAAAAAAAACATCAATGAGTTGGTTTAGTTCTTTGCATTTGGAAAATGGAACAGCATTACCCCAAGAAGGGTTAGAGTCGATACAGTACTCCAAGCCTTGAAGTTGGTCCATCGGCGGATGGCTTATCTCTTCTGGTTTTGGAGCTTCCATTGCTCACTCACACACACCAGTTCACAAACTTCCTATGTGTAGAAATCCCAAATGGGTATCTAAAGAAACAATCAAAAAGTCGAAAGAGGAGGCAGAAACAGAGAAACAACAAACAAGGAAGCCACTTCTTTGGCCTCTCTCTCTCTCTCTCTTTTGAACGAAAACTTGGCCAAAGCAGAGAGAGAACAGAGAATTCAATGGAAAGAAGAAAGGGAAAAGCAAAAGTCGTGACTGAAATTAAAAAGTTACAGAGATATAAGAGAGGAAATTTGAGAGATGAATGCAGTGGCCAGTGAGAGAAACTCTGAGTTGCCGCCCATTAGCAAGCGGCTTTTTAGCTTTGGCCCTCATTTTCTTACACTTCCCAAAAGGCCCGTTAAATCTTTCCACATTCCCGAAACTACCCTCATAAAAACTGCCAAACCCCCAAATGTTACCGTTGCCCACTCTTCACCTTCCTTATAAATGTTGAGTGTCATATAATATTGTATTTGTACCTGAAAAAAAACAAGTAGAAAAATCAGGTTATTAAATAAATGTTCCAACATTATTTAATTTCTCTTGTCTGATATTTCAATTTCCCTCACCAGACAACTTTAATTTAATGCGCCAAAATTTGGTCAATCTTGGTCAATCAAAAGGACAACTAAAAACCAATTAATTCTTGTCATGTTCTTGCGCAATATTTACATCATTTTCATGTTATCATGGAAATCAATCCGTATTTATATAAATGTTGGTATAAATTTGTGAGATGTTTTTTTTTCATCTTTTAGATATTTATCTTACATCATGCTTTGAAATGATATTGTTAATGCTCAACAATATCTTTCCTATTTTGTTTTTACAAAAAGCTAAGGGAGCATATTCGGGTAAGAGGAAGAAACTTATAATATCATCGCTACTCATGGTTATTTTAGTCGATTCATTTTCTAATATGCTAGTTTCAATCATTCTCATTCTTTACATTTATTCCAACCTACTTAGCCTGCAGTAGGTATTTGATTTATTGCTTTATTATGGCTTTCAACTTAAATGATTTCAATTTCAATCAATCTGTAATTCATTGTTAAAGGCGTGTGTTTAATAATAATTGGGCTGACGTGATCCTCTATACCTTGTTGTTGGAGTTTCATCTATCAATGGATAAAACTTCGATCTAGTGTATACGAGTTCTTGAAGAGTTATTATCTATTCTTTTATCATGAGATGGGTGATTGGGATTGTTTCAGTAACTCACATAATCGTTGACCTCTTGCCAGTTGATTCTAGTAACTTTATACATGTACGAGATTATAATATAAATTAAAATATGAAGTGGAAACCATGCTGTCAATATGTATCTTTTTACTTGTTTTCATCTTTAGCTTTTTCCTCTCTTCTTCTTTTTTTCCCCCTTTTGTTGGGTGCATGATTAGGATGATAGGGACAAAGGTGAATATAAAGTGAAGATTTTTAATGATGAAAATTGGACTGTAATATGCACATAATCAGAACTCTAATATTCACTCTTTTAGTTTCTCTATTTTTATTTCGTGAAAAGATATCAATTTCCTTTACGGAGAGAATCAATATTGTCTATGCGAGATCAAGAGGAAAAAAATGACGAAAAAAAAGCACTTGAATTTTAGACGCAATTCACAATTTTTAAAGAGAGAAAAAAAATCTTTCCTTATAGTAAAAGTAGTAGACAAAGCAAAGAGATTCAAATCCTTTTTACTAACCATGCTTTGTAAGTTAGGTTATCTTTATGGGACAAAATAAAAAAGACTTGTTCCTAAAATTATAATAACAATGACATAAATATCAAATCCAGTGAAATAAAGAAATTCAAAACTAAATTACAAGTTTAGTACTTGAACTTTTTAGAATATGTGAGAATTTTAAAAAAGTCTCGGTAATAAGCCAATTTTTAAGTCTTCAATGTTATGTCTAATAAATTTTAAAATTTTAAAATTTATCTAAAAGATTAAAAGTGAATGATCTACTAGACATTTTTTAGAGTTCACGTATCTATTAGACACAAAACGTCTAAAAGTTTAGAAAGAAACTTGTAATTTGAATTAAATTCAATTTACAGCATTCACCCTCAACTTTATTCTATAAACTACATAAAAATAGAATAAACTAATTAAACAAAAACTCAAGTTTATTGATAATTTCCAAACTTACTAGTAGAGTGTTGGATACTCATAAAATTGCATAGAACTTAATGCTTAAGCATATGATTAATGAGCAATGGAATTGATTAGAAAAAAGTGGGGAAAAATATAAAAATAGTAAAGGGAAAAAGAAAACAAAGATCAAAGCTGACTAGACACCAACGTGTGTTTATATGAAAAACCTTTCACCAATCGCCAAATCTCCAACGTCTCTTACTGCACACTGCAACTGCAGCTTCGAAATGGCTGCCTTTTCTCTCTCCTCTCTCTCTCCTCTCTCTCTCTCTCAAATTTGCTCTTTTTTTTGTTTCTTTTTGGTTAATCATACTCGTGATCTTGTTTATATTAACAAGAATCCACAGCAAAAGAGACTGTTTAAATTCACTAATGGCCCATACAAATCATTTTTATTATTAAATATTAGTGTTGATGCCGATTTAGGACAACATGGAGTGGTTGAGACAATTTGCCAAGAAGGGTCCAAAGGATCTCATTGATATTTTGTTGATTTTTTTTTTTGTAATATTACAGAAATGTCTCGTGTCGATATCAATGTCGAACTCATGAATACATGAAAATATCAATGTCGACAAATATTTAATACCATATTTCTTTATATTTCTATCATTATATGAGTCACATCTAAAGAAAAAAAGTGTTACATAAAAAAACTATTAATATCCATTACTAATCCAAACATTTTGAGAGAGTTTAATGACTATTTTAGAATCATAGAAACGAAATTGAAATTGAGATCAAATCCAAAGAGACTAAAATGGTGATTTGATCACTTTTTTTATCCATACAAAGGAAAAATTAATACAAGTTTTTATGGAAGTGCCGAAAACTCCATCACCCTCTCCCAAGTATCAACTTAGGCGAAAGCTAGTCTTTTCACATTCATCCATGAGACGAGTGTTTAGGCTCACATGCATCTGAAAAGAAGATAAGTTGTGTTGTATTCCAAAAGCAACTGTGTGCAGAAAAAGCAAAGGGTGCAAAAACATATAAAACCAGTTTCACCAGATGGGTATTTTGGTCTCACAAATCAGGGGATGAGAGTTAGGAGAAGAAACAGTTTTCTTCATCTTCCAATCCAAAGGAATCCCATATCCTCGAGTGGAGGGAAAAGCACCAATTCTCGGGTGCCAATGCCTACCTTTTCAACCTGACCCACGTACTTGTGTTGAAAATCTGCAACAACAAAACATTAGAGACTCAACGCTATAATTACAAACCACAACCACCTCTATGACTGATGCTTTCCGGATCTCCTTCCTGCCGATGTTACAAATATGGAAGAACATACCCTTTTCATCATTGATTTTGGTGAGGACAACTGTATCTTCGTTCTCCCAAATATCTCTACAATAGTATGATATTGTCACGACTTTGCTTTAGTTTCACCCAAAATGCCTCTGTACCAATAGAAATAATTGTCTTCCCTTATAAACCATGAATCACTCACTTTCCTAACCAACGTGGAACCTTATTTGCACTCTTTTCACAAACCCAACAGTTTTTGGTTAATTTTGCTTCAAAAACATAAACAACTTGTATTAAACGAATGGAAATGGGTTAATTTAGAGCAAAATGGCAAACAAAGTTGTGGGGTCTGTGGTTTTATTTTCTTCTCTCTTTTGCGGTTATTTAGGAAAGAGGTAACTTTCGGCAAACATGCATCGAGAAGAATTAAAGGCTGGTGGCATTGACTTTAAAGCATTCGGTGGTGTTTGGTAGTGCCGAGTGTGTGAGAGAAAACCAGAGCGTGGAAGATGAAGTGAGGACACACCCAAAATCAAATCTGAGTGTGGCCTGTGTGGGGGCTTATAATTGCTTGGAATTTTGGCTGTTTGCAGGGTTGAAGATCGAGGGGCGTGGGGAAAGGGACAGGGCAGAAGCTGGATGGCAAATACATCGCTGTCTCATTTTGGCCAACCCATCTAACATGATCATTTGTCAATTTTTCACTGACTTGATGGTTATCAGACATGGATTTTTGTATATCTACGTACCTCTCAAAGGGTTCCGACTTCCTCAAGTTTACTCATAGGAGGGGAATCCACTACTGTAAAAACAAAAACAAAAATACAGAATACAGAACATCATCAAAGCTGAATATTGTGGACAAAAATCCCTTCAGCAAGTAGATAGTAAATAACTCGATTGTAATTAAAGCCTTAAGCTAACTAAACTTCTGACAATTGAACCAGTCACTAAAGATCTATCAACATTTTGTATCCAATGGAGAGAACAAATCTAAAACTATGTTCCCATGTTGTGCAGTGTTTTTCCCCTTGTGAGACTCAATTACGATAAAGGAGCCTCCTTCCCCGTTAAAATGTCGTAACTTATTTTCCCCTAAATAATCTATCCAAAGGAATTTTATGAAAAAAAAATTGAGTTACATGCAATGCAATATTACATTTTCAAGAGGAACTAACGGTAACTGACGTATTACATTTTCATTCTGATAAATGGTTAGTAACAGATACAAAAAGCTACAATGCGGCTATTTCCCTTACATTTAATAATGGTTCGAAACTTAATACTATGGAACAGAATGCATTGATCTTACGATCTTCTATCCAACTTCCTCTCACTGGATCTTTTTTCTTCAGCCTCTCGCCGTCTCTGTTGCCTGTCAACAGGAATGATGCACATCAATACTGAAGTTTCATACGCCACTAAAAGTTAGTGTTCTTACTAGTTTCTTAGATATTCCAAAGGCAGTATAATATTTATGCTAATTAAGAAACCAACATCAACCAAATCTTCTCAAAAAACAGTAAACAAACTTACGCAAAAGCCACGTATCCAGAGCCAACATTAGCAGCAGATAGCATAGCTGCATGAGCAGTAACTGGATCTGACCCACCAGAAATTAATGGGTTTCTTCTGTCACCATCTACCTGAAATGAATTCAACAAATACTTCGTGACACTGTGATTACACATCACTGATATGTACAATACACATAGCTGATCTGATGTGTACAATACACATTAGCAAATCATCACCTTATCCCATTTTGATTTTTTGTTTTGTCTTCCATCCCCCCTCGGAATGGCATCAGATGCAGGAGCTGCTGAAACACCTGTAAAAGGGATGACAGAAAAGATTATAAGAAGAAAGACATCACAATCAGAAAGAGACTAGACTAGAGCACTACTGGTTGAAACCTGAAAATGGTATATTTATTTTAGGAGCAGTCACAACTGCACTAGGTTGGGTTCCTCCTGAAACAAACTCCATCTTCGGACTTTTCTTCCTTTCCAGCTCCTTCCTCTCCATCTCACGTTTCATGTCAGCCTCTACTACATAATATGCAACTTTAAAAATAATGTTTTAAAAATTAATAATAAGCGCATATAAAAGATTCTATGGTTTGTACTTTGCAACATATTCTCCACGTACTAAGCTTGCATATTGCAATCAATAAGAGTAGGATGTGCAGAGAACATAGATCACCATAAACTCTTTTCACCCCAGAGGAAAAGGACAGAAATGTTGCCAATTGTGAAAATTTTAGTCTTCATGATAGCCACTAAATCTTAAAAAGATCCCCTAATCAGTCTGTTCATGATAGCAAAAGCATCACAGTATGACAGCCAGAATTTTGGTAATAAAACCTTGAGCAATCTTTTCAACTTAACAAAACAACTGATTATGAAGTTTAATTAAAAAAAAAAAAAAAACTTTTTAATATAAGGTATAAAGTAATTTAACGCATGCACTGAGAGCAAGTTACTTTTCTTGTACATGATAATGAGAAATAACACAAGAGAGATATACAGAAGGAATTGTCAATGACCTATTTCAGTATAGTAGTCACTTTTATCATATCCATGGGGGTCAAACACATCCTTACTGAAGCAAGACCCAATCTGGTCAATATCTTGATACCTCACAGCATGTAACAAGAAATCTGGATTCCGGTAGTCCTTCCTATTGCGTACTTCTGCATTGAAGCTTTTTCCAGCTCTCTTATACTCGAGAAACTTATTGATTTTCCTCTGCAAATAAAAAACAAAAGGGAAGTACTATCAGGAGAATTAATAACGAACAAGCCTTCCATTATTGGAAAAACTAGATGAATATGTGGGTATCAATGACTATAAGGTTCCATTTTCTCCTTTAGCAATCCTTAGGTTCCTTTTAACCGGTCCTTGAGGTAAGTCATAACCAAGTTGCTAGGAGTGTTAGTACTTCGAGAGAAATCCATCCTGCATAAATAAAATAATTTCATAACGGTAAAACCTACCACTTGTAATTCCCCATGCATCCACATTCTAAAATTTCTGCCCATCAGAGGGCCAAAGAACAAAAACCAGTCCCCATTAAGGTCAAAAACCAAGTCACACACTCACCAAGTTAGCATTAGGCCCACCAACATGTTAACATATCCTAACCTCATACCCTGCCCATGGCATTAGTAAATAACTCAGGCTGTTTGTTTGAACTGAGAAAAGGTTAAATACATTCCATATATCAATTGCTTTATGTTTCTTAACAAAATATAATTTGAGAGCCACATACTATTTGGTGGAAAAATTACTGTACGTGGCTATTGTATCAAAAATGAAACTTACTTGCAACTCCTCTGAGCATTTTTCTTTTGGTGGTGGAGGAAGAAACTTATCCAAGGGATCAATGTCTTTTTTCTCTTCTTCAACGGTTTCCTCAACTTTTGCAGTTTCAGATTCCGGTATCGCATTGTTCATTGAACCAGAATGTGGTGATTCAGAAATTTGAGAAGTGGCAAGATTGTTCGGTGTTGAAACCCTTGCAGCTCCTGGAGATGTTCTATCAAGATCACCTGCATCATAAAAAAATATAATAATAATGAAAAATGAAATAGTATCAAGGAGGAAGAAGCAGGAGAAGTGATTATAAGCATCACAAGAAATTGCCACCTGAATATAGTAATTAGAAGCTAACTCTTCACTATTCATCAAACATCTAAAACCAAATCATCCCAAAATAATTAATCTTGAGCCATAAAAGATTGCTTGCAGAAAACTTCCGCACACTAAATAGTTCACGATATTTAACACAACAAAACACCAGTTCCAAGCAAATAAGTAGCATATATGATTATGATACAATAAAAAGGTAAAAAAAGCCTCCTACACCTTGCTAGTCTTGTGAAGAATGAAGATATGCTAATGTCGTTTGGCCTAAATGATGTAGGGCTTCTAGTAAATAACAAAGCTAACAGTTCTATTTTCTATATCGGCCTCCTTAACCCCTCACCCTTGGACACTAATGCTACTGGTACATAATTAACATGATATCTAACAAAATATTTTGTACTTCCTACACAAGGCAACGACTTAGAAAAGCGATTTCACGATACCCCTAGCCAAACAAAGTTTTAAGCATTGAGGAAAAAAATCTAGATTTTCATAAGATAAGCAATTAAGATGACATGTATGAATAGCTAAACAAATAGGAAACGATAGGAGTAAAAAAAAAGTTTTCTAGAGCAGATGCGTATTAACTGTGGGCTTGGAGCACTGATAGAAATGCGAAGCAGCAAGGTAATTTTTCATAATTAAAAATGTCGTACAAACCATTAGTGTCTAAAAGCTCATCGCCAAAAGTGACACGACCAGATTCTTCAATTTCTCCATCCTGAATGCAAACAATACGAGCGCAAAATTATGCAAAATTAGACGCACTTTCCACCAGTCACTATGCAAATAAGATGGTGGTTATAACACAGGTTTCACTAAAAGAATTATCTCAGATAGGCAGGCTTAATTCCCATAAAGCTGAACTTAATAAACGTCTTCTGCAATAGCTGAGCGTCGTACCACCCATCTTCCTCCAACGCTTTATTGATATTTTTTTAATTTCCAGTTGTTTGAAATGTAAAATACACATTCTACTGAAACCTTAGCCAACGACACTTACAAGTACAACATTCATGATTTCAACAATAAGCGAAATCTAAAATTTTAAAATTAGAAGCAGAGTCTTCTGTTTCTCACCAAACAAATAGAGATGTCGTAAGTACCTCAGCCTCAGGAGACATTGCGGCTTCATCGTGACCGTAATCAACTATCGCAAGCGTCCCCCTTCTCCTACCAGGATTATCTAGTTGCCCAGCTTGTAATAGCATCGGCGACGATGAAACCAAAACCTGAGGCGGTTGCGGTGTGGATGACCCAAATTTGAGCTTATCTGGCGTCAAATTTTCATCAGCAACCGGCGGCGTCGAATCATTGGCAGAATCACTGAGAATCATTCTGTCACTGTTCGCAACTGACTCTTCTTCTGTAACCCTAACTCCTCCATAATCTTCTTCTCCTCCCTCTTCTTGGCCCTGCTGCTGCGGCAGTTCAGTATCCCCTTCTTCTTGTTGTTCTTCGACGTCTTCCATCTCATCGTCCTCATCATTATACATCGAAAGCAAAGCTATACCTTCTGATTCTTTCTTCTTCGATGCCATGAGAGCTAAAATTCTCGGCACCCGGAAGAAATAAGTTCAACAGCAACGGAATGGGACTTCAGAAATCGAAAGACGGATCCAAATTGGATGCACAAGATTTGAAATTTGAATCAATGTCGATACTAGGGAGAAGGGTTTTCAGTTTCCCCGGTGGGCAAAACCAGTGAAAGGGAAAACGAAGAAACTTGAAGGAAACACGACTACGCTACACCTCGATGATGGTCCATGGATAATGAATTTGGGCTTAGACAAAAAAAAGGCCCAATTATCGGCCTAAAGCCTAGATATGATCTTGGGCTTAGACAAGAAAGGCCCATTTAATTAATTTTTTGAGCTCCAAATACGGGCTCCCCAACAAGAAAACTCGAGAGTATTGAGTTTAGAAAGGATTAATAGTATATACGTTGGTTTCCAAATTTTAAACTGATGATATTGTCACAAAAAGTAAATACAACAGCAACCCAGAGAGTATTGAAAAGAAGATAAAAGAGTAAATCAATGCATTTCATAGTATATATCATCAATTCAAATTTATTCATATAATACTAAAAAGTTTATTTGCAGTCAACGTTAACAATAAAAACTTTAAAGAGAAATTCCTATAGTGAAACAAATTTAAGGTTATTTCTAAAAAATATTATTTTTACTGTGATGTTATTGCTTAAGTTATCGAACAACCTCCATTTTTTTCTTCTTTTTTTAGTACAACATGTGGAGAACAGAGATTCAAACAACTTTTTAATCTAAGATAAATTTTTTAATCAATTAAGATATAATCAGACGGACAAACAACTATTTGAGAGATGAAAGGTGGAAAGTTTCGATCTCAGRCTCACATCCTTGTTGAACTAAAAAAGATACACAAAACAGAACTTGACTTTTTATACGTGAATCAATTAACGTGAAATTTATATTTCATAATATTTAATATACAAGTAATAGATAAATACTATTTTCAACTTGTAATTTCAATTTTTGATTTATGTGCTTTTAAAAAATATATTTTTTTTATTTATGTACTTTTAAATTTATTCATTTTAATTTCAAGATTGTTTTTTACATGTATCTTTCTAAAAGTGACTATTATAAACTATATTTGAAAAATTTTAACACAAATTTTTATCTTATAGGAATCTCTTAACACAAATTTATGGTTACATTTCAAGAGAATTCAGTGAGATGATGAAAACAAAGTATTAAAGTTTAGGAATTTAAAACAATCATTTATTACCTTTAGAATCACCGATCTATGGTATTATAGTGTGAAGAAGTTTTCATTAGACCACTTTTTTTTTCCTTTTATCAAGATAATTAGAGATTAAAACTTTTTTAATACTCATTGATAGATTCCTTAAACTATGTGCAGTAAATTAATCAAAGATGGGAACAAAGTGGGAAATATAGGATGAAGGCGAAGGGAAGGTCCGTTAGCTACTTTTTGACCAATTGATGGGTGTCTCACTCGCAATGGACATCTGCTTTTTAACTTCATTCCTTTAACTTTTGCTTTTGGGAAATCTAATCTTGAAAAAGTGTCAGCTTTCGAGAGATAAAGGACTGTTTGATTGATAAAAAGACTTAATAATTACGTCTCTCAACATGCAGCTGACTTWGAAATCAAATAATTCAACTAACTAATTAAGATATTAATTATTTCATTTTTAAATTAAAACATATTGATTATGGTCCATCTGTAGATTAATAAAATCATACAAATCAAAAACAATTATAATATCATATTTATGGAATAAAACAAAAATATGTGCGACCAATTATAATTGATGGTAAATAAAAGACTGAAGCGACATGATAATTGGTATAGATTATATTAGGGAATCATAGCCATGGATATAGATACATACAACATCTTTTTAAGTATTTATCATAAAGTTTCCTATAATCACTTAATATCAATAGATTGGTATAGAAGTTTAATTATACCAAAATTTTTGCCCATGAATAATCCACATCCCGTAAATTGATTCCAATTTACCCATTTATATTGCATTTGGTTTTTTGAATTGGTAAAAAATGATTTCAAATTCCAGTATTTTAAAGGATGTAAATGATTTCGAATTCCTAATTGCGTTTGGAACCAAAATGATTCTAAATTATTAAAATTTAAAATTTATTGTTCGGATGTTCACGAGAAATAAAAAGAAAATATAACATTTTACTATTATGCTCTTAATATTTTGTAGAATATTATATTATTAATAATATAATATTTTAATATAAACCAGTCATTTCAACCATGAAAAGGTAAATAATTTAACCAAATTAACTTAACAAAAGTTAAAACTTGTCAATGTGATCTTTATTTTAAAAACTAAACTAAAAAAAATTGCAAATCTCTTAATCCTGTTTTTTTTTTTTACAACTCCTTTGAATTCAAATATTAAAAAAATAAAAACGAAGAAAAAAACATAAACATAAAGATCTAAACAACATTGAAATATAAGGAACATTAAATCCACCAAAAACAAAATAGAAAATCAATCTTGTTTTGTTTGAATGGTGGTGAAAAAAAAGGGTAAATGGTGATGAAAAAAATTGTACATGGAGAGTCAGTTTATAGTTATTAGAATTAAAAAAAAAGGACAAATAAAAATTTGAAACTAATTGGGTTGAAGATGATGTGCAAAGGAGGTTGTAATGATACGTAATCTTAATATTTAAAGGAAAAATTGGATTTCAAATTCTTTTTTCTTTGTTTATTCATTCAGATTTTGAAATCTCCCCAAATTGGAGGTTCGAAACAGTGGTTAATGAATTAACTTTGACATTATACTCTTAAGAAAAACGATCCCTTGTTTTTCAAAAGAAAAATGTTCACTTATACTTCAGACATTAAACTAACTTTAATTAAAAAAAAAAACTATACTCTAATGTAGAGAAGAGAGACAAAGGAGAAGGAGATTGGGAATATTTGGAAAAGGGGGCGAGGAGAGAGTAGGAATGGTGATGCATGAAAGTGCGAGGAAATTGATAGAATTTAAAGCAGCACTATAAAACACTACAGAAACTCCAAAACAGAAATGGTCAACTTACACAAAATGACCACATTTTTTTAAATTACGTCAATATCCAAAACAGAAATGGTTAACCATATAATCAACCAAATAATTTTTGAGATGAAATCAAAAATCGACAAGATTCTTGAGTTCAAAACAACCGCCATTTTAAATAGACGTGTTAAAAATTTAAATTCAATATGTAGAGATGAGAATTTAAACAGGCAGTCCAAGCACGTAATTGGTCTTTTGACCAAACGCACAAATGCATATGCATGCATATGTCCTTTATTTTATTCTCCTTTCTTTTTCACTAAATAAATCCAAAAACAATCCCTTCTAACATCAACCACTAGTTATCCTCTCTATATAAAATTAAAATAAATATCAATGCATATCATAATTAAAAGCACGTAAACTCAAGATGACTAGATATATAGAATTAAAAATTAATCATTTTCTTTGATAACTATGAAACAAATAATTTTGATTCATACCGTCTTCCTAATTTTTCTTTGCTTTTCTTGAAAAGCGCTCGGAAATTGGGGCTGCTATTTTATTAGTCTCACAAGTTCTTTTTGTTGAAATATGAACTCATTGGTAACACGAATTTGAGGATAAATATACTGTAAATTTTGAAATTACTTATAGATTAATTACATTCTTTTACAGACATTTAACTAAAATCATATAAATAAGGTTAAATTACGAAATGAGTCCCTATTCTACAAACTTTAGAAAGCGCTAGTACTATGCAAAAATTATTTTTGTTGTCACTGTTATTTATATTATTGATGAACGTGTCGATTGTACTGAACAATGATATGATTATTTGACGTAACAATATGCTTAACACCCCC